TGTCCAGTCTCTCTTTCGAATTGGTGGTTCGTGGTGCAAATTGTCGTGTCTGTATGTCAGCTGAGTGTGCTGCTAGTACTGCAAGTTGGTGCTCAATCTTTTCCACTAGATTAGCTAACTCCTGGTCAAAGAACTTGTTAATAGGAGCGTCCATACTGGCCAAACCATCTTCCAGGGTACCAGTAGCATCATAACTCAACTTCTCTATTGGTGGTTCTATGCATCCTCGGCTGGCATCAGGTGCGACAGTTCTCTCTGCAGAATTGCGATCTGCGCCTGAATTTGGTGCACTCGCTCCTGCGTCTCCTTCGCGAAGTCGACATTCATCTTCTGGGTGGTCTCGGTGGTCGGCGGTCCACGTTTGGCATTGGTCGACCCACTTGCCAAAGACGTGATCCCGAACTGGACTTCCGAGCTGCCCTTGCCCTTCAACTCGTCGATGATGTCCCAGTCGGTGGCGGTCTCCCCATTCTGGTTCCAGTCTTTGCGCACCTGCTGGATCATCGAGGGCGTCAACACCCGCTGTTGTTGGTCCACCGAGACGGACCGGTCCATCTGATCCATGGCCCTCACATAGTTGTGAAAGCTCAGGGCCCAGGCTGACGTGCAATCGCCCTTCTTCTTCATGTACTCGGCATAGCTCGCGTCGATGGCCAGGGCCTGTGCAAAGGTCTTGCCAACATGTTTTCCTCCTGCCAGCTTCTGCTCTCCCCATTCCCTGAGGGTCGTCACCCCCGGTGGCTTGACAATCGCCACCTTGCTGTCCATCGGCAGCATTGACAAGGTGGCATCCTCCTCGAGGGGCAATGGAGCATCCATGCAGCATAGGCTGGATTCATCTTCTTGGGCGCCATCTTGAGTGGTGCTGGACGGTGCTTGCTCGCGGATGCTTGATGCTTGGTGCGCTGCTGTCGCGGAGGTGTTGTGTTGTGGAGTTCGTCCGTCAGTTGTTAGTCCGTTCTTAGTTTCATCAACTGAATGGGTGACGACCTCCCAAGATTCCCCGTGCACTCTCACATTCTCAGCATGTTTCAAAATCTCAACAAGATCAACTAGAAACAAGCCTTTCTCACTCATGGCTAGGGGTACACTCACACGTCCATGAAACATGCACAAAACTTGCTTGGAAGTGCAAATGTCCGCTGCAACTGCTTTCAAGAAGGCGTTCGATAAAAGGAAAGGAGTGGCTCCGTCGACAACCTCTAACTTCAGCCAACGTTCACCGAACGGAATGAAAACTGCTCCCAAACTAGCTAACGTTCCGTTGTTGCCAAAACGAAAAATCGTATTTGACTTCTGCCATGCAATCTTCTTTGCAAAAATGTCCGGAAGAGTGGCCATCAGCTGCTCTAGCCTCTTTTTTCCAATCACTGACTTACTAGCTCCTGTGTCCAAGATAGCTGTGCCACCATGATCTACAAAAAACATCGGCTCAAAGCGGGTCTCATGCCTGACACGTTTTCCCATGGACTCTGAAAGACCCTTCTTCAGTGACCGTTTCATGACATCCAAGGATAGAGCAGCAAAAACGAATTCATCATTAACATGGGCCTTCCTTTTTGGATCCCAACAAAAATTTGGGGGGCATTGTTCTTTCCCGGCCTGGTCGTCGTGAGATTCATGTTCGGTCATCATCGCCAGGTCAGGTTCCATCAGCGTTTCCGCCTCTGTGTCCTGAATCGCAATCCCCTGCTGGTTCATGGGCCACCACTCAGGTAGGGCGTGTTCAAGGGAAATGGGTAGCTTTTCCACCACCTCAGATTCCTGATCTCCATAGGTCTCGCCAACAAGGGTGGACACATGGATCTCCGCAGGAGAGGCATTGGGGTTTCCTGCGTTCCCTTTGTTCGGACACTCTTGCCGCCAGTGTCCTTTGGCCCCACATAGACGGCAGTTCGAATTGGCGATCCTGTCAGCGAGTGACTGCCTCTTTCGGAAACCGCCCTTCCAAGAGCTTTTCTTGCCACCTTTGTGTTTCCCTTTTCCTTTGACTGGTGGCCAAAAGCCTCTGGCACGGATCTTGTCTCGAACTCTGCCACGGGCCTCCGTGTAAGCTGAAAAGCACATGCTCAAATCCACATTGTCTTGACAAGCTTCAATCAGCTGGTCTTCAAACTCAGACACCAGCAGTGCGTCTTCGTCGCCCTGCTCCATCAACAACATGATGCCCGCCTCATCGTCCTGGATGAAGTCCTCCTCAGCGACAAAAGCCGAAGCCTGTCCATCATCATCATCTTCCACATAGTTCACGGCATACACTTCCTTCTTGGTCTCAACGCCGGTGTTCCCCACGAGGATCTTTGGGGCCAATTGCCTCATGGCATCTTCAACCTTTTTGGCCTGTAGTGTCCCACCTGTCATAGCCAGGACTCGTTTCTTATCCTCAGCATTGAGGAAGCTCTGACGCAGCATGATGAAAGCTTTGATCTCCTGGATGGTGACATCGGGGATCTCGGCAAAGGCGACATTCATGCGGTTGACATAGGAGAACACGCTTTCATCTTGTTTCTGTTGAACCTTGTATAGTGCCCGTTCAAACTTCTCGTATGTCTGAAGTTCTGCCGAGTCCTCCCAAGCCGCAACCGTACTCAGGAGTAACTTCACACCCCCTTCTGGGTCCGAGAGTTTGGCACCATCGATCGACTTGATCTGAGCCCAAGCAGTGCCCTTCATCAGCAATGCCAATCTCGGTGCCAGCATTGCCTTGTCTTTGGCCGGACAGATGGAGAAAAGAAACTTCACCTTGTCGGAGTTCTCACGGGGATCATCGACTGACGGGTCGAAACTGGGTAGTAGACTCCAAATGTGTCCGGACTTCTCATCTTGGCTGCTTTCACCATCAGGCATGGCTCACTGTCACCCACGGTCGTGGGTAAAATGTCTTGCAAACCTAATTGTTCAAATGCAACCGTCCTAGGTCAATTAGGAAACGAGGTAAACACCAACCCCAAAAGGTAAAACCTGTTGCCTCAACAGCTATGCCTCCTGCGGAGGCTCCGCTACCAATGTTAATCTAGCACTGTAGACTGAACGTGGAAACCCTGTCCACCTAAATCGAAAGGTGACCGCACCTCTTTCACGCTGATCGATACGTCCGCCCTCCCGCCCTTTCAGCGGTCCGAACCACGGCGTGTGAGCGAGACAACTCGAGGTTGGTATATATATATATACATATATATATATATAATTATATATATGTATATCCTTCCCGGCTGCTCTAGCCAGCCTCCGTAGGAGTTGTGTCTCATTACTGAGCTGCTCTCGCTCCTGCCAGCACAGCCGACCAGCGGATGACCCACGCGTCAAGTCACATTAGAAACGCGTGTCCTCGGTGTCCAACAGCAAAGATTCATCCAGTTGAAGGAGTCCTGCAAGAAAAGTGCCTCAAACCTGAAATCAACCAGAACTCAGAGTTGCTCCTGGCCTCTGCATCTGGGATGCTGCCTTTCAGGGGATGCAAATCGAATTACTAAGCTTGCTCGGCGCACGATTATTTTTATTGCCGGTTACTTCCACGTCTGTCACTTGTGCCTGCACTTTGGCAAGAAGATTTCCTCACAACAGGAGCTTGGCTTTCAAAGTGAGCGACCTCCAGGATCAGAATATTCTGGTCGCTCCAGCACTACAAATCTCAGATTTCAAGGAAACGGCCTTAGGCAGGACTGCCTCTTGCAACTCCTGCCCTCGCTTTGTCTCCCTTGGTTTGCCAGATCCTGCAAAATGACAGCGCATGTCTTTCGACACTTGCAGGACCAAAGCAACTTAAAGCAACAATGAATATAAAAACGCTATGGACTATGACTATGAGTAACCTTTTTTTCGGCATATATAGACACCTGCCTCCTGCTAGAAGCCACAGAACTCCGAACAGGTTCATGCAAAGTCCAGTGCTTACCACACCTGACAGCAACAGCTCCGCAAATTGAATACGGCTAGGAACAAAATCCTAAATGGTCTCCTCTGTTGCAGAATAGAACAAACCGTTTCGGAATTCAACCCATGCCACTCATCCAGGGCCCCGAGCGCCACTGCACATCTACGCTCTGCAGCCAATCAGGCAACCACCTGACTCATGAATCTTTGGCAGATCATGAGTCGCATGAATTTGTTGTATGCAGAGTGCCAACGTTCTGTTCAGCCTGCAGACACCTGCTGCAAACACATGAATGCTTTGCCTTGGGTTCTTGCCTCTCTGTAGCTGAGCTCTCCCAGTGTACTCTGGCACCCGCCTAGGCCACACTCCAAGCTTTTTTTGGCAGCTGCAGTGCTGCAAATGCCCAAGGCACAATGGCAGCAAGCAATGAAACCAGGAGCCAAAAGAAAGGAACCTGAAACAGCACCAGCTTCCAAGCTAATGCCACTGCACCCTGTTCCATACTAAAGTTGAATCAATTCAAGTCTGGCCTGAAAGCTTGTTGCTATCAGCATCTCTGGCCTCAGTCTTAAACCGAACGTGACTCTCTTTTTTAAGCCCGAAGCCCCGCCTCCCTGCTTATAGGTGCCTACTCAATGCGCCTACTTAAGAAGGGAGGTAGTTTCTAGGAACAGGACGTAGGATAGCTCACACTTCTTCAAGGAAGCTCACCCCGCCCTAGCTTCCTTGAAGAAGCGCTCGCACTAATGATTTGGCTTCCTACAACTTTATATAGGGCCTAATTTAAGGAATTTTTAACTTCAAAATGAACAACACAAAAAGAAAACAACACTTAACTTTCATGGAGCGTCGACATGCTCAAACTAAGGCTCCAAACGGCATCACTTTGCAACAAAGCTACATTTATGTATCACATCTGGTGTTCCAGAAGAAGAATGCATCCTGCGTAAAACCTTGCGGGTAAGTCGATTGCGTACGATTTCTTTGACTGTTTGTCTGTCATTCAACTCAGAACAACCCCTTGGCGCATATGCAGTAACTAAATCATTCTGCGAAAGGCTTGAACCCTACACTTCACTGGAGAGCATAGTGTACAGACGAGATCACAGCAACTGAACTCCACAACTTATAGACGAATACCTGATTCATGGGGGCCTGTCTGTGGATGCTCCTTTGACCACAAGAAGCTGTGCCTCGAGGAACAAACATGAAATGTGCTGCATGAGTGAACCTGTCTTTGTCATTCTTTGCGTATGTATAAGCACTTGTTCTTGAACCCTACAGGCCTGCCTCCATGCCTCTGACTGAATTCTCGCACACTGCTTTTGCTTGGCAAGCAAGTTCGGCGCCGTTGATGTGTCCCGTGAAAATACCCTTGGAAACCTGCAGCCCCAAAACATTGCTCATCGCCAATACCAGTACTCAAAGTTCCCCACGAAACAGTACATTGATTGTTGCCAAAGCTTGACAGTCCGAGAACGATCAGCATGGGCGGCAGGCTCCATGTAAAAGAAGTGCAAATTAGCGCGTGCTGCACAAATCCTATCTGACCTCATGTGGAGGGATGTGCAGTCAGCTTCGCACCATCAAACAGCACTGTGAAACGTTGTGTCACGCTTCATGGCTGTCACCTAATTCCTCATTTAAGACAAACCATGCACAGCTGGCAACCGTGAGATCATAGCCAGCAGGATCAGCCTGATTGGAACAGGTGCCCTGTGTGTCTGAGACAAATGCCGCAGTGACTTGACAGGACATAATATCCAGGCTTGTACACAACAAACAAATCTCTTGGTGACTCCTGCACAACATGACAACTTCTATTTGTTCAAAGCCTGATCAGGAATTGCGAATCCTCTTGGAAGGCAAGGCAACCTCAGGCAAATTGCATAAAGGGAGTTTAAAGTCACAATATATAATACTTTCATGTGGAAATATTGCCACATATTGCCACAATCTTTTCACCCAAGCAGGCCTTCTTGTTTAAGGTCCTTCATCATGTTTAACATACCAACAGGCCATGCAGGCAACATCAACTCTGCCAAACTTCCTGCCAAACCATCCCAACCGAAAGGATGCACTTGACTCCTTAGCCGTCAGCGTAATCTCCTAAGCTCGATACCAGTTGACTCTCGGTCGTTCTCTTCCGCGGTTCGGCCTGGAAACAAGGCCAAGAGGCCTAAGAGGCGGTTCAATCAGGCCGAATCAGACAAGCCTTTCAATCCCTTCCCGTTTCCGCAAGCCTGCGTAAAGCTGTCAAAACTCCATGGTCGATGTGTCTGAACTGAACCTGCCTCATTAGCCAAAGCCTTGGCACGCTTGGGCAAGCTGCCTCCCTCCAATGCCAGCTGTCGCTGTCCTGCCCATTTGACTGACTTGCGAATCTGACAAAGCCAAGGCTAGTTCCTGCAATGATGGCAAGAATAGGGTTCACAGTATCCCCAAACACCGAGTGGTTGTGGAAAATATCACTGAAACACGCAGGACTTGATACTATCACCCAAGCGGTGATTGCTGCTAAATCACTCCAGTAGCTTATGTAGAACATGCTGGATTGGCCTTTGACTGGCACAGAAGCAGCATGCTGCAGAAGAATCTGCTTGGCACCTCAAACGGAAAGGAATTCGTAGCATGCTGCACCCACGAAGCACAGCTTGAAGACTTTAAGCGTTGCACGGCAGACTTCCACTTTCCTAAGGCACCAAGCATTTCTCAGATTTGCAATTAACAATCGACAATGGACTTTGACTATCCGGCCTAATCTCTTCTGTTTGGAATGCTGCAAGCAAAGATCGGCCATGCCTCAGCTCAGAACAGCTGCAGTGCTTTGTCTGTAGTGGATTTCTTGCGACTCACAAATTTGTCACGGCAAGCTACTCCCGCTGGAAAGGAACTTCACAAGCTTGTACTTCCCGGACAAAGTGGTCCTACACAGGCCAAACAAAAGGTTGAAAACACGACCAAACCAAACCTATTCACCTCCTCGAACAACCCTCTGGTCCTGGTTGTAGCCCCACTCTTGGCAGAGAGGCTCAATGCTTGCCACGTCCTCCCAGTTTAGAGAACAGAATACTTTTACTGGGTGATTGTTGGGGTGCCGCACCTGTGCACCTCGTGCTCTCTGAGCGGTCTTTACAAACCGCGCCAAGGCTACAAGCCATACTCGAGCAGCATACCTGATGCCCAAAGGCCCAAAAACTCCAAAGGGACAATTTATATATCTAGCGGAACTGAATGGAAATGAGTCAACGGAAACAGCTGGGGGTCTTGGTGCGACCAAGCTGCGAGCCAGTGCTCCACTTCTTCAAAGCCAAGTTGCTGCCTCGTGCAGCTTCTTCAAGACAGAGAAAACCTCAGCACCACAACTCACTCTCGTCTGCTGAACTTTACTGAACTGTATAGTATGGCACTGCACACACACACACAAGATTGCAGCTGGGAGTCAGTAACATACGTCCGAAGCATTCACAGCATACCTTTGGAACTGCAACATGCCAATGACAATATTAGCTGTTCAGTTCACCCATTCCGTGCCTATGCTGTCAAAATAACTGCCAACATGTCATGCAAATGCCCTACTACTTTGCATGGTTTCTCCTTTTAGACAATTCAAAGTCGCGTTCGTCCAAGGCACGCGTCCGACACGGCACGCACGTTTCCAAAATGATAATCGAGGTCACCATTAAACCTCAGTTGCCAGTAAAGCGCATGCATCATTCATGATGGGGATAATTGAGACCTGTTGAAATGAAGCAAAACCTGAAGACTGAATGACAATTTGTCAACAGAAGTGTCATTCAAGGCACCAGAAGGCAAAATGGGCTGCATAACCCCGCTGCAAGTCTTCGAACGAAACTGTCGCTTGCTTTCTGCTGTTTTGGCCGCGCATTTGTACAGCAGCTGGACTCAAATCTTCCGCACTGTGCACTTTCTTCTTGTTCGGCAGCGGTGATTCGTACCCTTCCTCCACTGCAGGACGCGCAGATTGACTGCTGAGGAAATGTTTGGCAAGCTCTTGGTGCTGGTATCGGTTCTTTTCCATGGGCGCATTGACCTGCGGCGACATCATGTTGCCTGTCCAAACCATTTCATGGTTCATAGGCACGATTCCCGTTGCACCCCGTCCATTTGGAAGAACTTGAAGAGCTGGGTTGCCATTCCAAGAGTTCATTGCATCGTTCCTCTGATCGGCGTGGACAGGCACATTGGAATGACCACCATTGGATTCCAAAAACCACATTGCACCGTTCCAACAAAAGTATGCAAGAACGGCAGCGGCTACCATGCCCATCACAGTAGCCACCGCAAGTGCCAAAGCGGCAAGGATCAGTGCCATCGTCATGGTTGGATGAATTCAAAACCTCAACACTGTTTGAACACTGTGTTCCAGACACGGAACAGGAACATAAAATGTGTTTGTTTCCAATTGCCTCAACATTTCTGCGATGTGATTGATTGTAGCAATGTCTTTGTCAGATGACAATGTTGCAAACATCATCTTGGCGCCGTCGACATGCTCGTTGGGCAAAAATGTCAGAGCACAAGCAAAGTTTGGTCTGGTCGCGAATGGAATTCCATTTGCATCAGACTGATCCAACCGTCACACGGTCTTGGGATTGAAAGTGGCATGAAACTAAAACAAAATGGCCAAAAAAAATGCAACCCAGTCGGTTAATTGTTGGCCACAAAACTGACGTGATTGAAGCAAACAGAACATGTCACCGCGACCGAAACAAGATCCAGAAGGACAAGGGAATGTGTACATTTGTTCCGCCGCTTTGCATATTCATGTTCGACGCGTCAAGCAGATCTGTGATTTTCGTGCCAAAAAAAACTGGCCAAACTATTGAGCCGCGCAACAAAAAGGGAACCAAACAAGCCTACAATTTCCGTGGCAACACGAAACTCGCAGGACAGCACACTTGCTACAACAATGGAAGCACACGTTCTTCGTCTCGAAGACGTGGTGGCTTCGCACCAAACTGTTCTAGAGATGTTACAATGTTCAGGGAGAGAGTTATGCTCTCAAGCAAGACTAGATGCCCAACACACTTTTCTCACTGCCAATGATTGCTTCAGAGGTTGTTGGGATATTTTCACCAGGCAGCATTCCAACAACACTCGGTAAAAGAATCCCTAGGCGCTCTGAGTGGCAGTGGAATGAAAAGTGTAGATGTCAATGGTGATCAAGCGACCATTGAACCGGAAAGGTTTCCGGATGAATCTGGGCTCCCCGGTGAAACGAGAAGAACTGCTCGAGGCTCATTCGATGCCTCGTATCCGCTGTGAATTTGACGGGCAAGGGATCATGAAAGTTCCATCGGTTGAGGAGATCAGCATCTTGGTTCAAACTTCCAGGAATATGTGAGATATCACAGGTCACTCGTGCCGAGACTAGGACATGTGCTAAATGTTCGACAAAATAGCACAACGGGGCTGATGTGGTAAAGAGCTTGTTACCACTGGCCTCTGTAGCAGCATTATCACTGAGACTTTTAAAGTGCAGGGGAACGCATGCATGAGGACATAACGCTATGCACAGAAGTACAAGAAATGCTTGGGCGAGTGTTTCATAACA